GCATTCCAAACATTCTGGCATTGTTGCTTAGTGCTACCAAAAGACTGCATTTTATCAGCGTCTTCACCAAACAGGACTATATTATCTGCGTATTCTAAGTCGATAAGTGGACCTCCTGGAAGGAGATCAATACCCGAGAATTCGGTAGACGAGAATGTTATTTCCATCAGTAGATCTATGATGAAGTTAAACAAAAATGGGGAAAGTGGACAGCCTTAACGGACACCACTTGAGGTTGCGAAAGCAGATGACAGTTTGCCATAAGCTCTGACTCGATTGGTAGTGTTCGAGTAAAGAGCCTTCACAAGGCTTATGTACTTCTGTGGTACGCCTTTCAATGACAGACACTGCCACAGAATCTCGCGGTCTACCGAGTCAAATGCTGCTTTTAAGTCGAGAAGGACCACCATGTCGGACGCCGATAAGTATGCCTGTGTTCTAGAATCTGACGAATGGTGAATATGTGGTCGATGCAGCCACGACCAGGTCTGAAGCCAGCTTGAGTCTCTCGTGTTTGCAGTTCACGAGTCTTAGTTAGGCGTCTGATAATTATCGAAGCTAGTATTTTAGATATTATATTAGTTAAACTAATCCCTCTGTGGTTGTCACAGGATGATTTTGACCCTTTCTTATATATTGGGACGATAAGTGATTGTGACCAGTTAGATGGGATAATGTCTAACTCTCAGATCTTAGATAAAATATTAGTCAACCTAATCGCTAAAATTGGACCACCATCCTTAAAGACCTCTGGAGCCAGTCCATCTGGACCAGCTGCCCTTCCTCGCTTCAGATTAACTATAGCCTTTTGAACTTGAGCAAGAGTTGGGGGACCTACTTCAATGTTCCATTCACACTGTCTGGGAATGGAGGGTAGTTGTAGAGTAGCTGAAGGCCAGTTGAACTGTTCTCTGAAATGTTCCGCCCATCGTTCTAAACGTCTGGACTGGGAGCAGATGAGAATATCGTCTTTTTCTGATATAATCTCACTTACACTTGACTTATTAATTCCAGATTCTTTTATTAGTCTGTAAAGCTGTCTTGTGTTCCCTATAGTCGCCGCCTTTTCCATCTCTTTTGCTTTCATTGCCCACCACTGCTCACGGTCGTTTCTTAGACTTTTTCTTAACCTAGATCTGATTTGTTGTCGCTCTTCATCATGTTCGGAACCTAATGGGACGAGTTTGCGAGAATCCATCAGTGTGATAGACTTTGAAGAAATCCATTGTTTCTTTGTAACCCTGTGGTTTAAATCACTGATAGATGTCACTGCTGTTTCCACAGCTGTTTGTATGGCTTTCCAAGCAACAACTGGGTCAACCTCGTTTTCAGAACTACCTAATCGTGACCTCAGTTGTTCCTGGAACCTACTTTTGGTTTCCTCGCTACTCAACTCAGTTCTAACGGGTCTTTTTACTGTGGCTTTTTTGCGTCCAGTGAGGCGCAAGCAGATGCGTGCCCGTATTAGGGCGTGGTCGGAGTCCAAGCAGGTACTCCAGAATGAGCGACAATCTTCTACCGACCCTCTCCAACGATGACTGATGGCAATATAGTCTATTTGAGTCCATCGTTGGTTTGGTGAAAATTTGTGTTTGCTAACAATAAACGACTGTCTGAGTATAGTTGCAGCAGACGATCACCATTATCTGTTCGCTGTGCCGGAATGCTAAAATATCCACCTAAATGCCTTTCTGTTTGGTTTAAGCTACCTATCTGAGCATTAAAGTCACCCCCTATGAGTACTATGTCTGAGCGTTTAGCTTTCTGAAGAAGTTCAGATAGCTTTCTGTAAAATTCATCTTTCACATCATCTGAGCTGCAGTCAGTGGGAGCGTATGTAGAAACGACGAAAAGGCAACGACGTGTATCCCTATCCTTCCGAGTTCTTACGGAGCCGTTTAACCGAACAACACATAGACGACTGTTAACGGGGATCCACTCTAACAGTGCTTGTTTCGCCCTCATGCTTAGTGCTATGCCTATACCTGCCAGTCCACGAGGACTGGCCATCTGGTCACCAGATACACGGAGGGTGTATCTCGTTGGCTCTCCGTTTTGCCGAGGTGAGGTCAAGTGAATGACCACACTGGAATCCTGTATGCGTGTTTCGGAGACACAGCACACATCAATCGAAAGAGATTCTAGGGTTCTAGCTAAGGAAGCCTGCTGACCGATTTGACATAGGGTGCGCACGTTCCAGTTAGTATAACTCATTTGGGTCATCACGATATGAAAACGCGACCACTACGTCAAGGTGGCAGCTACGGTCGTGGTTATCAGTTCGTTGAGTTATCGACTGTCTAAGGCATTTTTGTAAATGCGGATTACTTTGTTGGGGTTCGTGTGAAAATTACCGTGGTTGGGAACGGGTAACAGTTTAGCATGTCACGATAGCACAGATGGATACACTATTTGTCTTGCTGTAGATTTTGAAACTTATTATTCATCCGTGCATTTACATCATGTTTTTTAGCTGTAGTCTCATTATCATTGCTAATACATTATTTTTATTTGTTCACTTTCTATATTACTTCCATTTGCCGTTTTAACATGATACGTCAACTTGGGTTTCTATTGTATTCCTCACCAAAACGGTATTTATGTATTTGTAACCGATGGAAATCTGAGTTGATTTCTGACTGTTTACTGTATTACCTGAGTTTATTTGGTGATTTCATAAACCAGCACTATTGTGGCGTTAGTCTTTCTGTAAAAGACAATATATAACGTTACGAGTAGTTCTGCTGTTTGCTTGCAAAACCTTGCCTAAACAAACTATATATATATACTATGTTTGGAGCGATTACGAGTTCACCTAATTTGAGAACGGAACGAAGACTGGGACAAAGACAGATAAGCTAGCTATCCCGACGAGTCCCAACTCAGCTAACTAGAGAGAGAAGTCTAAGTTCGGAAGAGGGAAATATATTCCACAAGCAGCCAGAAGCACGAACAACCACGACGAGTCTAGTCAGAAATGCACTCATTTATATATTGATTCATAGACCCATTTTTGATTAATAATCAGAATAAATCACATATGAAAAATAATTCATACAAGAATATCGTATGTTATACAGAATAAAATGTCATATGGGAAAACAAAATAAATACTATACTGAGTAATCGTCACATTGAATTAAAACGGAATTAATGTTGAATAAAAATCATACTAAGTAAATCAATCTAATTTTGACTTTTCATCCCATCATATCAATATAACAAGTCTGTTCAGTTATCATTATCTCCAAATGATTGCTATGACTTAGTATTTAGCTCACTTCTTTTTTTCAGTCAGGTGTAACAAGTTTGGATGCTATTTCATCTACTTCGATATAACCAGACAGATAGTAACATTACTCCGCACAAAATGTGCGGCTTTAAATCAAGTACATAAATCTGTATTCCGTTAATGAGTTACCCTATTACCGTAGTTCATTCTATATCCTCACGTTTTTCCATGTTTTTTACTGACTAACTACATTTGCTCTGCTTGAGTTGCATTTCTCATGTTTGGCTTTCGATTACATTTGACATTATTTACTTTTTGATCATCGTATTTTCAAGTTTTATTTCCATGTGCTGAGGAAACATAATAATGTGGACTGTTGCACGTTCGTGCCAGACCGTACGTTGGCAATAATGAACACCCCACACATTTTGTTGTCGAAGCAAAAGTCAGCAGCGTTACTATTGTTATTTTTTTGTTATATTCTTTATGGGCAGTAAGATATCCCGATGAATAAAATATTTATTTGGTGCTTTTACTCAGATGGGACCATTTAATTCGTTCTCGAAACGCTAAACAATGTTTTGTAGTTCAAATGACTTCTCGATTGTTGATGAAGTGGATAAAGAATAATTTTCTCCACGATTATGAATTACATAGCAAGATCTCATTTCAGTGAATCCGCCATTTTATTTAACTGTTTGGTTCATACAAAATTCCTCAATAGTTTATGCTTTGACTCAGCATTGTCGAAGGCCTCAATTCTTTACGAGAAGCATTTGTAGGCTGTTATCATATAGGAAACAAAAAGTATATGTGCTCACTTAAAACTAAACTACCAACCCTATAATTTAAAACAGTGTGTCTCTGATACGTCGTTTAATGTGTTGCCTACCTAGAGTTGTAGGTAAGTTAGATAACGAAATCGCTCTAAAATAGTGAGGTTTATATCTGGGAACTCTGATCATAATAGGTAGTATTAACAGATTTGGTCTGTCACAGTTAAATATAGCACTAATTGTTTACTGTGACATACACAATATAAAATGTAAACATTTTCTCTAAGATCGTTGGGAAATTACTTATATGGAGGAACTACTCACCGCCATAAGGAGCCATTAGCTTCTGGATTATGTGCATAAAGTTATTTTGGGTATAAATATCGTTTTGTTTGTCCTAAAAATAAGCATCTAACTCCACCATTTTATTTTCGTTTTTACGTTTAGATGCGTTCAGAAACGATGTCCTAATAATCAAATAAAGTCCCTTAGTGAAAAATTTTAGGAATTTAAAAACAAGTGTTAATTTTTAAACTGTTTAATGCTTGGCTATTTAGTTTCGGGCTGTTAATTTAGACTAGCTTCAACTGACAAGTTACAGGTTCATTCCTCTGCTTTTGATGAAATATGAGTAGTCGACTAGTATCATGTCTTCATCCAGTAAGTATGGTACATTATCTAAACCATTTAGTTTTACACTGTTGCTGAGTTTCGTTTGCTGTCTAATACTTGGGTATCTTGATCAAGAGACGAGATCTTTTAGTTGAAATTTGTAAACAGAACATAAAGCATTTAATCAGAAATTTTTTGGCTTCATTTTACATTTTTAAAGCGTTAGTTTAAAATTAGAATAAATCGTTTCCTCACTAATCATAACTATCTGATCAAGTTATATTTAATGTATAGACTAGGTAACTTTGTGAATCATAAATCATTTTGATCTAACTGATTATTTAAAGCATTTTTGTGATATTTGTAAATGTGCTTTGCAGAATATATATGGTATCAATAATTCAGCGGACGCTTACTATGGGACACTTTTCTCGCACTTGTCTTATGGAATGGGTGAGGGCAATGGAGTAAACTCAGCTACAACCCCAAATGCAGAAAATGCAGCTGCGGCGGCTGCCGCTGCAGCCTTAGCAGCAGTGGCTTCTGGAAGAAACGATTGGTCTAATACTGATGGTTATAACGCTGTTTCAAACATGATAAATAATATGCGTACACATCCATCAATGGCAGCTTGCTCAAATTCTGGGGATTTATCCGAGTCTTGTAATATTCCATCCAGTTCTTTATCATCACCTTATGCTGCAACTTTGTTGGCTGCAGTTGCTGCAGCAGCTGCTGCAGCTTATCCACTTCCTCAGGGTGCTGCAAATGCCGTTTCTGGCCAAACAGGTCGGTCTTTCTTACCTAATCCCTCAATGAATAATAGAGCAGCTGATTTCACAACAATGTACTTTGGTTCTTCCACAAGACCATCTGTTACTAATGCTAACCAACTTAATGGGCTTCTTGGTAACCTACCTAATTGGCCTTTCACTGTTCCTCCAACTCACTATCCAAACTCTTCATTTATAGACAGACCTACTGGTGCAGTCGTTCCTTTTGAGGGCTGGGCTTCAAATGGTCAACAATTAACACTGTCACCTTGTGGTGAAAATGATGCAATCAGTCACTTTAGTCAAGGTCCATCCGAAGCAAATATGTCATCTAAAGACCCACATACATATTATACATCATCGAATATGGGAGATACTGTTTTCGCGCCACCTGCATCCTATTCTCAGCAACAACAACAATGTACTACTGAAGACCCTGGTGTTTCATTCATCTACCATCATCCGAATTCAAAAGCTGCCTATCCGTTTTCATCTCAAGGACCTCAGTCACATCTTGTAAATGGATTACCTGGTAGTGCTGCTAATATGTTGGATCCCTATGCTTCAGTAAATCAGTGCCAAACAATCTCACAACATCTGATCGATGAATTCGGTCGACTAAATGTTGGATGTGGTGTCGAAACAGCAACTTGTAGTGATAATGGGCTAAATCAGTTGCATGTCCCGTTTTATGAAACCTCAGTTGTTGGGAACGGAAGTAATGTTCAGTTACATAATACTTCAGTGACACAATGGTCTCATATGAAAGAAAGTAACGGAGTAAGTCAATACAGTTCCATATATTCTGCATATGATTTTATAGTCACCAATTCGCGCTTTTTGGTTTGACAGACTTCAAATGTGAAGCTGACATATCAGGGACCCATGAAAATCCTCTTATTATTGTTTTCAGGTTTTTAAAATCATGTCCATAAAATATAATCTTTTACACCCAAACGGCGTGGCTGTTCACTCTATTCTACTTTAAAGTTAGGGGATATTCTTAGTTTACTAGTATTCGACCACAAATGCCTTGAAAGCACTACTCATATTTGTTAGGACCACGGAGCTAGATGCAGGACTGTAGGTAAAAATGGCAAATTAATTAGTGAGGTAATGAATCTTTAACTGAGTTGGTTGAAACACGTGCTACGTACGCCCGTCAACCGATTACCTCGATATTCGATGATGCCTGGCGTAGGTTGGAAGAAAGCTATAGGCAGCCAAACCAAGATTTGGCATCAGCCTATGAAGACACTAGCAATTGGATTTAGCTATGTAAGTAGATGCAGATTACCTTGCTGGGGTTCACAGAGTTTCGTAAGCAAGGGGTAATATTGCTTTCACTGATTTGGAATGGCATAGGCGCACTCACTATTTGTTTTCCCTCAGATCCTAAGTTTCCGGATTACTGTATAATATTTTTATTTTCATTAGGTTAGTCTACTTATTCTTGAATCGTATCTTCGATGCCTGATCTTTTCTATTACCACTAGTACAGTTACTGCCTCCAATATTCTGTGATTTGTTCTGATGGTCTCTCACCGTGCTAATATGATCCGTTGCATATGACTGAGTAAGGCAACGATTACTTTTTACCTTTAAATATGCATCAAGTAACTTTAAATTAGTGGTAGTTTTTATAACATAACTAAAAACAATAATAGTGTGACTAGACGTTTTGTAGGTTTGTGTATATTTACTCAGTTGAGAATTAGAATTTAACTTGAAATTAACTTCTTCACTTATTTCGTTGTATCATTTAAATGTGAAAATCGGCTAATTATGAATAAATCAATTTGAAACTATTACTTGATAGGTAAACGCCAAATATGTACATAGTCAATTTATTTGCTAACATATACATTTAAATATATTACTGGGAAATATGTGAACTTTTTTATTTTTTTAGATTAGTAATAGCATGTGTTCTATGGATAAGTCCGATAATATATCCAGATCACAATCCAATCCAAGTACTTATCCAGCAAGCAGGTTATCTACTTCAGCGAGTAACAGACCTGCACCATCAGTTATTGCTACATCTGTCAATAGTTCACCACGTACTAAAACTTGGGCTAATATAGCAGGACAACCACCCAAAGGGTCAGCTGCAGTTATTCAAAACTCTGTAGGATGGTCAGCGAAAAGATCTCATCCTCACAATCCAACAGCTGTTAACAGGTCTTTCCAAACTTCTACTGGGAACTATTCAGTTGGTAGGGCTAATTCTTTGATGGCAAATGCTTCGTGTAATAATGGGCATTTAACACAACAAGACAGAGTTAATACTGCGGACCAGTCAGGAAATGTTCGTTCTTTGGCGGAATCTAATTCCGAGCTAAAGAGTACTTCGAATAATGGTAACCATGCTGCAGATAATTCAACATCCCTACTAACCTCAGATGGATCTGCACAAGCTTTTCAACGTGAGTCGGAAGCGCTGCACCAACGTTTGGCTAAGGTAATTAACCCCAATGATTTCGACACACACATAGAAAAGGCCAGATTCTTTGTAATCAAGTCATTTTCCGAAGATGATATCCATCGTTCTATTAAGTATTCTATCTGGTGTTCAACAGAACTAGGCAACAAGAAGCTTGACACAGCGTTTGCTGAGGCCAATCATGCCTATCCAATATATTTATTTTTTTCAGTCAATGGATCTGGACATTTTTGTGGGATGGCTGAAATGGTTTCTCGTGTTGACTATAATGCTAGAGCTAGTGTTTGGGCTCAAGATAAATGGCAAGGTAAATTTTCGGTTCGATGGATATTTGTAAAAGATGTTCCTAATACGGCATTGAGACATATTCGCATTGAGACAAATGATAATAAACCAGTAACTCACTCTCGCGACACTACAGAACTTCCTTTAGAACGAGGTAAACAAGTAATGGAAGTACTTGCCACATATTCACATACATTGTCTATTTTCGACGATTTCTTTTATTATGATCAACGAGAAAGACAAGAGGTAAGTTAGATTATTTTTATCAGTAAGTTACTTCACCCAAGAAATTCTTACTTGCTATATTTTTATAACCTTATCTCTGTTTATAACAAATGTTTTTTGTGCAACTACTGGTTTTCTAAAAATATCGCAGCTTTAAGCTCGACTAGATGAATAAATAATTAATCCGAATTCTTCCAGGGACAGATAATGTTTCACTAGGTTGCTAAAATGATCGTGATCTTGACTTAACATATTTATCTTTGAAATATCAGAAGTGTGTCGATCATCCCTAATTCACTAGAGTTAATGTTGGAATTTTTAGACCATTTTCTTTCATCCATTACATACATAGTCATGTTCTAGAGCTTCGTACGTGAAATTTTACTTGGTCATACTACGTTGTGGGAAATGGACGGAAACGACTTTTAACAAAAACCAAGTAATTTAGTCTCCGAACTAAACCGTTTAGAGTTCTCGACTACCGGCCCACTGTTTATCATAATGTATCTGTTAAAGAAATCACAAAAAGTTATCTCAAAGTTTTCATTGTAAGTCTGTTTACATGGTTATAAGCTCCGGTTTGGATTAGTGAATCACCATTTGCCACTGCCTCATCGCGGCAGGGGGGTGTTTACGAAATTCAGAAGACGAAAAGCGAGTGTCCGGCGCTTTAACCTGGTCGGTAGACACAAAGAGTCCATATAGATGAGTTGGAAAACCCTTATTCCAAAACAATAGTACACATGGGCTCCAGGATCCTAAGGAAACAAATAGCGTATGAACCAATTTTTGGTCACCGGTTGGCCATAGGACTGCATCTCCTGACGTTGCTCTATTGCCTTGTGGATCAGACCTTTAAATCAAAGACTCGGGGTGTGGCCTCCTGAGAAAATCACCTCCAGTCTGGACACCCGGGGAGTATCCCAGCCCTCACATATATTGAATGATTTATGTGGTGCATATCTGCTTGGTGCCTCCTTGTACCAATCTTTATTTGTTTAAATAAATGAATATGCTTTTAACTTAGGTTCGTCTATATTCAGTCATATCCCTATTGTTTAAAATATTTTTGTTAATTCATTCTCTTCTCATGGTTGTGTTTCCTTAGAATTCTTTGGTGTATTGCCGTGTCGTGACTAAACTATCAATCGAATGTTCTCTGTGAGCTCATAAATGAAAAGCTTATCACTCAGTTTAGACGAGAATATTCATTTCATAATTGAGTGCTTATGTAAGCCGTGACACCCTAATCTCCACATTGCAGTCAAAAAAATGTAAAAAAAACATTTTACCGAAAGCTTTATCTTGAGAAATGTTTGTACTGGATCTTATAATAAGGGAAGCAACAATCTCAACGTGGTTTTTGAAGGCGAGTATTTCCACAATCTAAGTCAAACGTTAGCAATCAAATATTAATGATAAGTTTTGATAACCATCTATTTTATCACTGAAAAAAACACAAAACACTATGAGTGTTCAAAAATACTCCGTGTTGTTATATTGGTGTTTATAACACTACTGGGGAGGCCTACATCAGCATAGCTAACTCATCTTGAGAACATCTCAAATACTGTGACTCGAAACTCTTGGGTACATAAGGTTTCAAAATATTTTCAGGATGTTTATATATATATATAGGAATTGTAAAGTAAATATCTGTGTTTAGATTTTAAAAAGATTACTGATGTTTTAAATATATGCCATGCTAACTGAACACTGAATTTTCGCATACCATTCAGTCTTCTAATAAGTGTTTTTAAAAATTCTTTAACAGGGATTTCGTCGTAAAGAATTCAATACGCGAAGAGGTTGATTTACGGACAATAAATTAGTTTGAATGAATCTCATCAAATGTTGATTGCTATTACACTTGTGTAACAAAATTGGACTTTTACGCTCATTTTATGATAAGAAATGAATGATCTGGACATTTCTTCCTCTATCTTCCCCCGTAGTTCTCAGTTAGAGGCTGTTTTTAGATGATCTAAAAGCAAAATTGTTTAGGTTTTCTCTCTTCTGCTACTTCGTTTTTTTTAGAAAAAAATATACAAACCGAAACCAAACTTTACTGTGAAATCTTTTTTCCTACTTTATCATGTTATATACAGCCTCAGGTTATATAGCTTATAAAATTTACTTCCTTACTCTAACAAACTCTGTCTCAAGTTGTTTGGTCAAGTAGACATTTATGGAAAGAGGGAACACAGTAACACAAATTGAACTATTAAACATGAGACAAGAATAATTCAATGTATATCTCTTTTACTTAAATACAGATAATCATGTTATAATATTAACAGTTTGGTATTTCACAAGCTGAAATTAAAAGTTACTTTGATGTACTAGTTTTCTTGCTACATTCATTACTATCCTTTAGAATGTCTGGAAGATTATTATTTAAATAAATATTCATTGGTAGAGGTACGTAGAATACATAATTAATCTGGGTCCCCGTTTTTATTTACTTACCCACTTAAAATTTACTTTTACTGCCAACTGACAAAACAAGACAGACACTTTTTGAACGTGAATCTTTTCTGAAGAACTGTTTTTTTTTACTTCTCTTCTGTAATGTATATTTCTTTTCATCAAGTAATTAACAATTGTTCCACTTATTTTTTTTGTCACATATATACATCATATGAGTAGTTGCCATTTCTTCAGATATATAATGATATTAGTAACACTATATCAATGACAATGCCCATTTACTTACATATATAGGGAAATCCTTTACTTTTTTCCACACTTCATTAAATCATATATATATATATATATTTACTGACCAGTCTGTTGTTCAATATACCACCATTATTATCTAAATATTAATATTTACTGATCATCTCAAGTTAGATGGGCACGCATGTAAACTTATTATATCACAGTTTGAATAATTCGAATTTCGCCCTTTTCTTTTTTTACTTCATAATCATTATAGTATGTGTTCCAACCTTTTTCTGTTTATTACTAGTAAATATAAAAAGTATCGAAGCAGTTACAACATTTGAATAAATAGGAAAGTTCAATGAATTCACCTATACATTTATCAACATTAGTTAAATTGACATATAAACTGCCCATCATTGCGATATATGTTTCGTTTATTTCGATATTCAGATATGAGTTTAAAAGTTTCGGGAACGAGACAGACATCATCTAGGCTAATTTCACCAAAATCTTAAAAAACAAACTCCTACACAATTATCTGTGAAACGATTGCTTAGTAGTTAATCGACGTAGGATCTGGCACTAGTCGCAATTCACATCATCATGGCGAGAAGAGTAAAAAGATGATGAACAGAGGTTAAATAGGATCAAATGAAATGAGAACTGAACGTGAGGACTGTGATCTAGATAACAAATGAGATCAAAGAATGAAAAGTATGACAGATCATGTTAGAATGAATATAACTGCAGCACTGAGGTAACTCATTCGCTGGTTTATTTGAAAACGAGAGACTGACCACTTTCTTAGGATGTCATCGAAAGTATATAACTATCGTCGAGATAGGCGGTGATTAAGCATATGTAACATTCCAGCTATTCTATCTAATGGAGATTCTACCTCTCGTCAACTGATTATTATTCTCGCCTAGTACGCTAAATCGAACCCCAGGATTGTGCACTTGTTCTACTTCATGTAAGTCATGCTTCTATTGAACCAAATCCTACATTATGACCGAATTCAAATGGCGTTTCAGAGTTTTAGAAAATAAGGATTTCTGGGCAATATACTGGTCCTAATATGGGCAAAAAGCAAATGAAATTTTTTAAAATACGTTTGTTAACATCTTATCAGGGATAACAATAAGTAAAGCGATTGATCTTAAAGGCCATTTTATACGCTGACACATCCCTCTCGAAACAACACTGTACTTGGAGGATAGAAAGATTTTCAATGTAGTTTTTTCGTTCTTACTAGAAAAATTGCTATCTCCAATAAGTTATAAAGATAGAGATCGATTCCTAAATAGTCGAAGAAAGTATAATTTTTATGTGACATGTGACGAAACTTGTCGAATATCCCATTACGCGAAGGATGATTCTCGTTGGCTCCATATCTCGGGTTACAAACACAGTTCGTATCAGTATCACGAGTCTTCGTGAAGTTTTTCAATTGACACAGGTTTCGGACAGCGTTGTTTGGAAGACGGGAAATATTTCGTATTATAGGATCGTTAGCAATGTTTGAATGTGAAGGCGGAGCCAGAAGAGGGGTGGAAAAAACATACGGAGATGAGAACACGGTCTTGTTGTGAATAATGTTCATTTGAGCACTGTTAGAGATGTATGGGGGTGCTTGACACTTCTCAGTTCCATACATCTTCAGAGGAAACTTCTTGATAGATGGTGGTAACGCTTTTATCAACCTAGGAACCTGGCTACAAAGATCGCAACCGAAGCTGCTACCTTGACGCGGTGGTCGGGCTTCCCTATCGTGATGACCCAACCGAGCTATATTGGCTGGAACATATGTTCCTGCAGGTTCTACCATGCCAGGCAGGTCGATTGGTGAACGGTAAGACTAAAAGCAGCAACTCAAGGTCTGAGGGCGAAGTCGTACTGCTGACTGTAGAGAGGTGTGACAGCAGTAAGGTGTTTCCCTCGGACAACCAGCATGACAGTGATGCCGCCTTCCCACAAGGAGGGGTGGGGTTAGAAAAGATCGACCCCAAAAATGTCACACCTCACCTTACCTCACGGATTTCCGTCTCCGGCGGTAAGGCCCTTTGAAGAACGGAGCTAACACGTCAAAAACTTTCCACATAAAGGTCGTGCGCGACCGGCCTCAAGCAGTTGTCCCTTGGGCTCTGCGGTCACGCTCCCAGGTCGTCAAGACCAACACTAGTCCAATTTCCTTTTCAGGTTCCTCAAGAAATACCCTTCCACGGTGTGAGCAGCCGGGAAGTGACATCAGCCCTCATACCCGTAACAGCACAAGAGACCAAGGTGGTCACATTCAAATCCTTCCTACACCTCCTAATACCTCTCTTATCTCCCCGACTAACCCTCCTCACGTCTCTTTATCACCTCGCACCGCTAGGGCAAACGACTCGAGTACGTGGAACGCCATTCCTGGTCTCCTGAAACCACGCTCTAAACTATACGTAGGAGCTTTTAACGTACGAACACTTTGCCAAATAGGACAGCAGGCTTCCTTAGCTAAAACTTTAGAATCTCGCGCCATCGATGTGTGCTGCGTCTCCGAAACGCGCATACAGGATCCAAGTAACGTCATTCATTTGACCTCACCATGCCAAAATAAAGAACCGACTCGATTTACGCTTCGTGTATCTGGAAGCCCTGATTCTGCTTCCCGTGGCTTCGCCGGCGTAGGTATAGCATTGAGTCCTAGGGCAGAACTAGCTCTCTTAGAGTGGATCCCAGTAGACAGTCGTTTGTGCGCTGTCCGACTAAACGGAACAGTAAGGATCCGAAAAGATAGGGACACTCGTCGTTGCCTCTTCGTCGTCTCTGCCTATTCTCCCACTGACTGCAGCTCAGATGATGTAAAAGATGAGTTTTACAGAAAGCTTTCAGACCTTCTCCGAAAAGCTAGGCGCTCTGATATAGTATTAGTGGCCGGTGACTTCAATGCTCAAGTAGGTAAACTAAGCGATAGGGAAAGACACCTAGGTGGATCTTATGGTGTCGTGGCTCAAAGAACAGATAATGGCGACCGTCTGTTGCAGCTATGCTCAGATAACCGCCTGTTCCTTGCAAATACTAACTTTAAGCATAAGGAAAAACATCTTTTAACATGGCGACCCCCTAATTCGTCCCAACGTTGGACCCAAATAGATCACATCGCTATCAGCCACCGATGGAGGGGCTCGATAGAAGACTGTCGCTCATTCTGGAGCACATGCCTAGATTCAGATCATGCTCTAGTGCGAGCGCTTATTTGCTTGCGTCTTACTGGACGTAGGAAAGACGCTGCAAGGAAACCTCTTAGGGGCCTACTTAATGATAGTCAAGCTAAGAGTATATTTCATGAGCAACTAGAAAAACAGTTAGGCAGCCATGTATGTGATGCCCACCCCGAGGCAGCATGGAATGATATCCGAAAAGCTGTGGAAACAGCTGTGATATCTGCTAGTAAGGTAAACCAGAAGGTTAGGGAGCAACACTGGATCTCAGCAGCATCTATCGCACTGATAGATGCTCGTAAACTCATTCCACCCGGCTCTGAACATAATGAAGAGCGGAGTCAGCTTAAGCGCAAGCTGACAAGAAGTCTACGCAATGATCGCGAACAGTGGTGGGTAGCGAAAGCAAGAGAGATGGAAAAGGCAGCGGCAATAGGTAATAGCAGACAATTGTTCAGACTCGTTAAGGAATCCGGAATTAGGAACCCGACCGTTAGCGAAACAATCTCAGAGAAAGATGGACATATTATTCATTCTCAATCCAGGAGATTGGATCGATGGGCAGAACACTTTAGGGATCAGTTCAACTGGCCTTCAGCCACACTTCGGTTTCCCACGATCTCTAGTCAACCTGAATGGCAAGTTAATGTAGGTCCTCCGTCCCTTTACGAAGTTGAAAAAGCCATAGGAAATCTGAAACGAGGGAGAGCAGCAGGCCCTGACAGGTTTACTCCTGAGATTTTTAAGGATGGTGGTCCAGTATTAGCAATGAGATTAACCGAGGTCTTAGGCAGAATTTGGGAACTGGACGTAATCCCATCTGACTGGTCTCAATCACTGATTGTGCCAGTCTATAAGAAAGGACAAAAGTCCTCTTGTGACAATCACAGAGGAATCAGTTTGACCAATATAGTGTCTAAATATTAGCCTCAATAATACTTCGACGCCTAATCAAAGCTCGTGAAGAGCAGGTAGAGTGTGGGCATACAACCACATTTCTCCATTGTTCCATTCAAGCAGTGGGGTTAGGCAAGGTTGCCCAATCTCACCACTCCTCTTCAACTTTGCCATCGATGACATTCTGGAAACAGCTCTGATGGATGCAAGTAATGGCGGTGTGGATCTGCTGCCTGGAGAAAGACTTCTCGACCTTGAGTATGCGAATGATATTGTCTTACTGTGCGATAATGCCCAAGTCATGCAATCTGTACTTAATCAGTTGGCAATCAATGTCCGCAGGTATGTTATGTGCTTTGCACCTTCGAAGTGCAAAGTACTTCCACAGGACTGGTAGGATTCTAATCCTGTACTCACCCTGGATGGTGAGCAGATAGAAGTAGTCGAGAAGTTCGTGTATCTGGGTAGCTGCATAAGTGCTGGTGGGGGTGTGAGTGATGAGATCAATGCACGTATAGTGAAAGCCAGAGCAGCTTATGCCAATCTGGGCCATCTTTGGCGCTTTCGTGATGTCAGTCTGGTGGACATACTGGACGTAATCTCATCTGACTGGTCTCAATCACTGATTGTGCCAGTCTATAAGAAAGGACAAAAGTCCTCTTGTGACAATCACAGAGGAATCAGTTTGACTAATATAGTATCTAAAATATTAGCCTCAATAATACTTCGACGTCTAATCAAAGCTCGTGAAGAGCAGATTAGAGAAAACCAGGCCGGTTTTCTACCTGGACGTGGTTGTATAGATCAGATATTCGCACTACGTCAGGTTCTAGAACACAGACACACATTCAGACGCCCCACAATGGTAGTATTTCTCGACCTTAAGGCGGCATTCGACTCTGTTGATCGTGAGGTTCTACGGCAGTGTTTGTCACTGAAAGGAGTACCAAAGAAGTACATTAACCTTATAAAGGCTCTCTACTCGAACACAACTGGTAGAGTAAGAGCTTATGGCGAACTGTCATCAGAATTGATTACCTCAAGTAGTGTTCGTCAGGGCTGTCCACTCTCCCCATTCTTGTTCAACTTTGTGGTCGACGTACTTTTAGAGATAACACTCTCCTCATCTAAATTTACAGGGGTTGAACTTCTACCGGGAGGTTCACTTGTTGACTTAGAATATGCTGATGACATAGTTTTATTTGGTGAAGACGCTGACAAAATGCAGTCTCCTGACCACTCTAAGCAACAATGCAAGCATGTTCGGGATGCGATTCTCTCCCTCGAAATGCAAAATGTTGCTTCAGGATTGGGTTACATCGACACCCGAACTAGTGATAGGGAGTGAAGTAGTTGAGTGTGTTGACCGCTTCACTTATCTTGGAAGTCTCATCAGCCCTTGTGGTCTGGTGTGTGACGAAATCTCAGCACGGATACAGAAGGCTCGACTAGCTTTTGCCAACTTGCGTCATTTATGGAGTAGGCGAGATATCCGTCTATCAACCAAAGGACGTGTTTACTGCACAGCAGTTCGTTCCGTCCTACTTTATGGCAGTGAAACATGGCCGGTAAGAGTAGAGGACATCCCTAGGTTACTAGTATTTGATCATAGGTGTCTTCGAAACATTGCTCGTATATCCTTGGACCATCGAGTAAGTAACACAGTTGTTAGGAAACGGGTACTAGGTAAGGATGGCAAATCAATTGATGAAGTAGTGAAACTTCATCAGTTGAGATGGCTGGGACCCGTGTTACGTATGCCCAACCACCGACTACCTCGACGTGCTATCTTCAGTGGTATAGGAGTAGGTTGGAAGAAAGCTAGGGGCGGCCAGACCAAAACATGGCACAAGTCCATGAAGTCACTGACAAGTGAACTGAGTCATGTTGGTAGGTGTAGACTACCTGGTTGCGGACCACGAGATGATAGCAACCGATGGTTAGAGACCCTGAATGACATGGCTCAAAATCGTTTGCAATGGCGCAGGTGCATCCACTCTCTGTGTTCTCCCAAATTCTAATCTTCTGAATTCTCCATGTCCCTTTTTTCATCTTTCCAAATCTACTTCACTGGATTATACTCTTTAAATAACATCTCCAAACCCTAATCTTCCCGATTACTGCTTATACTCTTATTACCTCTACCACTACGGGATTTGAATCGACAACTGCATCTCTGTGCCAAGGTGGTGTGGCAACTCGAACTGATGTACATACGTACGAAGTTCTACGTTGTTACTGACTGACCGACTTTTATTGTGCTAGCTTCATACCTTTCAAATCATAACTTCATGAAGCTAAGTGAGGTGTCATTTCAAGGCACTCAACCAGTTAACTGTAAATTTTGACTTTAATCAACTTACTCTGGTTTGGATAGTCGGGGAGTATGTATTACGAGCCTTTACACAAACGTCCATACTTGGCAAATATATCCATATGGTAAACTGCTCTGTTAATGTAGCTAGGGTAGCCATTTAAAATGAATATAGTTTTCCTACTGTTTATTCTTAGTATTTGTCTCAATGTAGCTCATAGGGTTTTTCTAATTTTATATCTGTGTAGTTTAGAAATACGATTTTCATATTTCTGAAATACACTATTCAATGTTGTAAATCGTTACAAAAGACCCATTGTAGAGCAGTGTGACAAACGATAAAAAAATATATTATGTTACATGACAATATCACTTGTGATTCTTGTCTTTATAAGTTTTTGTCACTTTCTAACTGGCTTCATCATCACATAAATCCCCATTGAACGAAATAAACTGCAAAAAGTTTGTTGCAATCGCAGCATCATCCGAAACTGTATTTAACTGATCAAATTTTAATCGTTGTACCGCAATATATCGGCGTTTAAGTCGTATAAGGTTGCCAATCGTGTATTTAGTTTCGGAGTTGGTAATTTGAAGAACTACATCTCGGTTATGCTCGTTTTGGAAACACATAGGGAGATCGACTGATGAAAGACCACTGGTTTGACTTCGAAGGACATGATCTACGACTTGCTGCGTGATATGCTCCAGATTCTGAAATTCAATATGTTGCAAATAAGAGCATGGTAGAAAATATATGCTTTTACAAGTTCAATATATTGTTTAACAGGTATCATAAGTCAATTTTAATAAACGATGAGTTTTTTATTACTAAGAATGCCATAACATGTAATTATTGAGATTCGTAAAATGAGAAAAAGTGTTCAACTGTTCCTGCAAAACATTTATAATAAAACGATAAGACGTAAAACTTTCAGAGTTGACGTCAAAACCACTTGTGTTGAGGTCGATGAACGCCAGGCTGTTAAAAGAATGCTTCAACTGTAAGTGAATGAAAACCGCTTATTGGGCTAGTTCTGTTAACCTGAATGTGATTAATCAGCACCTACCCCTACACTGTATTGATAAATGCTGATGTGTGTTATTGCTTAACCAGACACCTTTTCCAATACCAATACCGAAATGTAGTATCTTTGTTTATGACTTGAAAAATATTTCTTCAATGTGCCAAAAGAGAGCTTTTATAAACTTACTTGTAGGTAGTTAGATGATGAAATAATTGTCAGTTGTGTTGATTTGTTTGGTTGGATCTTTCCTTTGCCTCTGTTGTTTAGCAGCTGTTTTATTTGTATAATTACTGACTCCATATTATCAGTGCTTGGTGAGTTCCAAAGATGAGGTTCAATAGTTATAAGTGGGTTATCCCAACGCTGTGTAGACTGAGGACGTTCAAACCTGCTAATCATATCCGAAAGCAGATCAACAGGATACCGATTAATCTAATAATGAAAATTTAGCAAAGAATTATAAATTGATTAGTATTCCGTAAAAATATCGAAAACATGTTTTCACAGTTACCATAACATGTTGGTATTTGTCTATGTTGGGATATTCAGAAAAATATCCTAAAAATTATCCTGTTAAGTCTAATGCTATCCTTGGACTTGGAATGGTATCATTTTCCTATTGGTCAATACTTATTTCACGTGTCGTTTCCCTAATGGTCAATATTTATTTCACGTGCCATTTTCCTGCTGGCCAAATATTGTACAAATGTTATTTTCTATTTTATGGTACGATGTAGTCTGCTTGATTGGTATATAAACAGAGTATGTTTGAAATACATGATTCATATCGCAGAGGCTGAGACTTGTGTTCTGGACTTGACTGGCTGGGCTAGGCGGAAAGCAGGACCTATCAGAACTCTATACTGCTCATACAGGTTTACGCGTCATTGTTCCGATCAATAAGTCACTGCTCTCTAATCGGCGGTCACAAGTTATAACAGTCTACTGAAACATTTTACAATAATAATAATGTGAATTAGTCTCTCCCGGTAATCAGTGATAGCAATCACACGTTAGCTAGTAATAATTAGATAAAGTCATTATATTTTAGTGGCAAGGAGTAGATTTACGGTGAACTATCATATGAGCTAAAAATTAGAACTGTGTAAAGGATTCAAGGAAACCATCCAGATCATCAGTCAGCTACAACGTAGGACCAGGCACATATATGCATCGGTCCAAGTTGCCATACCTCATTAACACAACAAGATCAACACCGGATTCATAAAAGTAGTTAATTTAGAGGTGGTAATATATAAAAGAAAGATTGCAATAAGGATATAGTACAGGAAGAAAGAATTAGTTAGTAGAAAGAAAGATATGAAGCGATTCTAGTCTCTTAGTTTAAGAGAGGACAGAGAGTGTATACACCGACGCCATTGTGATCGATTCTGAGCCATGTCACCGAGAGTCTACAACCATTGGTTACGATAGTCACGCGAACCCCAACCGACTATTCTGCATATACCAACATGGCTCAGACTAGAAGTTAGTGACTTCAAGCACTGATGCCACGTTTTTGGTTTGGCCGCTCCTTATTTTCTTCTAACCATCCCCAACACCGGTTAGCATTGCACGTCGTGGTAGTCGGTGTTCAAGCATACGTAATACGTGGCCCAACCATCTCAGTCGATGAAGATTCATAACCTCATCAACTGATTTACCACCATTCCCTAATACCCTGCTCCTAACCTCACTATTACTTACCCGGTGATCCCAGCAGATGCCAGCAATATTTCTAAGGCATCTGTGGTCAAATACTCGTAGCTTACGAGTGTCTTCTACTCTTAATGACCATGTTTCGCTGCCGTAAATTAAAACAGAACGGACTGCCGCGCAGTATACTCTTCCTTTTATTGATAGACGGATATCTCACCTTCGCCATAGGTGACGTAAGTTGGCAAAAGCCAAACGAGCTTTTCGAATCCGTGCTGAGATTTCGTCAGACACCAACCCATTAGGGCTGATCAGACTTCCAAGATAAGTGAAGTTGCCAACGCGTTCGACTACTTCACTCCCTATCCTTAGTCCAGGTGTTGACGCAGGCCAGTCCTGAAGCAACAACTTGCATTTCGAGAGAGAGAAGCGCATTCCAAACATTCTGGCATTGTTGCTTAGTGCTACCAAAAGATTGCATTTTGTCAGCGTCTTCACCAAACAGGACTATATCATCTGCGTATTCTAAGTCGATAAGTGGACCTCCTGGAAGGAGATCAATACCCGAGAATTCGGTAGACGAGAATGTTATTTCCATCAGTAGATCTATGATGAAGTTAAACAAAAATGGGGAAAGTGGACAGCCTTAACGGACACCACTTGAGGTTGCGAAAGCAGATGACAGTTTGCCATAAGCTCTGACTCGATTGGTAGTGTTCGAGTAAAGAGCCTTCACAAGGCTTATGTACTTCTGTGGTACGCCTTTCAATGACAGACTCCAGAATGAGCGACAATCTTCTACCGACCCTCTCCAACGGTGACTGATGGCAATATGGTCTATTTGAGTCCGTCGTTGGTTTGGTGTAGGGGGTCGCCATGTTAGACGATGTCTCTCCTTATGCTTAAAATTTGTGTTTGCTAAAAATAAGCGATTGTCTGAGCACAGTTGCAGCAGACGATCACCATTATCTGTTCGCTGTGCCGGAATGCTAAAATATCCACCTAAATGCCTTTCTGTTTGGTTTAAACTACCTATCTGGGCATTAAAGTCACCTGCTACGAGTACTATGTCTGAGCGTTTAGCTTTCTGAAGAAGTTCAGAAAGCTTTCTGTAAAATTCATCTTTCACACCATCTGAGCTGCAGTCAGTGGGAGCGTATGTAGAAACGACAAAAAGGCAACGACGTGTATCCCTATCCTTCCGAGTTCTTACGGAGCCGTTTAGCGAACAGCACATAAACGACTGTTAACGGGGATCAACTCTAGCAGTGCTTGTTTCGCCTTTATGTTTAGTGCTATCTCTACTCCTGCCAGTTCACGAGAGCTGACCGTCGGGTCACCAGATACACGGAGGGTGTATCTCGTTGGCTCTCTGTTTTGCCGAGGCGAGGTCCAGTGAATGACCACACTGGGGTCCTGTATGAGTGTTTCAGAGACACAGCATACATCAATGGTACGTGATCCTAGGGTTCTAGACAAGGAAGCCTGTTGACCGATTTGACATAGGGTGCGTACGTTGAAGGCTCCAATGTGTAGTTTGGAGCGAGGTTTCAATAGACCTGGGACAGTGTTTTGAGCACTAGAATGGTTGGCTATGGTGACACTTGAGGGGGAAGCCGAAAAAGGAAGTTTAGAGGTGAAAGTCGATACAGGAGGAATAATAGGAAGTGAAGACAGGTTGATTATGAATACAGTGGTCCTGAGTGCTGTTAGAGGTATGAGGGCGGTTACCATTTCCCGGTTGCCCACACCGTGGAAGGGTTGTTCTGGAGGTACCTGAAAAGGAGATTGGGTTAAGGGTGGTCTTAGTGACCTGGGAGCGTGAAAGCGGTGTCCAAGGGACAACTTCTTGAGGTCGGTCACACATGGCCGTCTTATGGGTAATTTTTGTGCTAGCTCCGTACTTGTTGAGACCTTACCGCCGGAGACGGATATCCGTGGGATAAGGCGAGGTGTGCATTTTTAGGGTCGACGTTTTCTAACCCCACCCCTCCTTGTGGGAAGGCAGCACCTCCGTCATGCTGGTTGTCTGAAGGAAACACCTTACTGCTGTCACACCTCTGTACAGTAAGCAGTACGACTTCGCCTTCGGACCTTCGGTTTGTTGCTTTTAGTCTTACCGCTCTTCAACCGACCTGTCTGACATGGTAGGACCTTGAGAAACGGTTGTTCCAGCCAGTATAGCTCGGCTGCTTCATCACGATAGGCAAGCCCGACCACCACGTCAAGGTAGCAACAACGGTCGGGACATCCAGATCGACTTTCAGGCAGTTAACAGGAAAGTATTAGTTATAGTACTTACATATATAGTACAACGCATGACGATGGATTTTAAGGTTATATATACTGTATGAGTGATTTATGTGTTAAAAGAGGCTTTGAGATGTGGATGGACTTAATATGCTATTGGATTTTCAAAGTTTATATTTTTCTTCGTTGACTTTTGATAGAATGATACTCAGAAGTGTTTACGAGGAGCTTGAAAGTAACATACGTAAGAAAATGACGAATTTAGTTTATCTTGAGAATACTGACCTAGTTTTGGTTTCGTACCACTTCTAACCTTTTCTCACATCTGCAAGAACTTACTGTTTCGATGCTCATTATCTTTGATAAACGGTTCAGTGCCTCAAATCTACAATATGGCACTAACCGGTTTATAGAAGATCTACATGGTATGACAAGATCAGGATTTTTGAAGAGAAAGTTTAAAAGACTGACTATCATATCTAAATAATAACAATGATAATAATAAACAGATAGACGAACAAAGTAGTGAACAAGAATAATTAAAATTCACTTTCGAATTCCAATGTTCCGAAATTTCAGGCGGGATATCACTGAATAAAACAATCTGTTGATGTTTATGAGATTTGGCCATGCAATATAATTCGTATCTATAACCCTTGATATAATTGGGTGCATCCATGATTACTATAGTCGATTGACTTTGTGTAAGTGCTCGTTCAACCTGATCATCAAGTAAACAAGAATTACAAAATTTAAAAGCATTATGATCAACAGAAAAACATAGGTGTAGTGCTCCCAAGATAGTTAAAAATGAGGAAGATGTTGACCTTAAAAGAAACCAATAAACACATAATCATAAGTCAAGTTATAGTTATCAGTTGATCAGGAGATATACATTATCCGTAAATTTCATAAAACACATTCCTTGTAAATATACACTTAACAGTTTAGTGTTAGATCACTGGAAGGAATCAACAAGAAAGTTTGAATTTACGTTTTGTCTTAGGTGTCACTTATAGCAACAAAGATCTCTAAGTAATCGGTTTATTTCCTCAAACTACTTATCAATCGATTATATGCTGTTAATATGGACAGTTGGATATATTAAAGGAAGTTTATTCATACCTCTGATTTTTGTTGACCGCGAAATTCACGTTCTTTTAGGGAATCTGCATAAATATCACATCTGATATCATAGTTGGTTGTTATTTTCGATTGTAGATTACCACTTTTAAATTCATCCACAATAAGAATTGAATAATGAGGTAAATGTTGCTTTAGTATGTCAGCTAATAAAGAGACAATGGTTGATTTACCTGAACAAGGATACCCGCATAACAGAATTAACGGCATTTTGTATATGTAATAACTATGAAAAACGGTAATGTGATGAATACTGTTGTTTACTCTACAATATCAAATAAATAAACAAAAGAATTTACAATTAAGTGTTATGAAAAATAAATGGGACGATATTCAAGGGAAAATAGTAATTAATATTATACTGTTTAGGTTGAAGTGATAGGCAACTTATTAATTATTCTTAGAGATTATTATAAACTCTGTTAAACATAAGTTTCACGAACATACGAAGCACAATTCGATAAAAACTATCAACACAAACCACTATTAGAGGAAAATTACTGAATAGGTTTTTCTTTGCACGAATTAATTTCAAGTAATAATTTTCACTTTAAGCTAGAATCCGTACTGAGCACATAGATTTTACAGGGAGTGCATTAGTTTGTTTTCCATTAAAATCATTAACCGATCAAATGCTAAACTATCATTGGGGACCTGGAAGCACTGGAAACGGAACTCCTCAACAGTGGGCGTTCACGATCTCGTATGCAGGACTTAGACCCAGAAACTTCGGTCTTGTACGAACACTGAACCAATAGACCATTAAGCCAGCATCCAATGGTGTTAATATACAACTTCAGCCAATCCATGAATAGTTTGGATTTCCCCGATGTTGATGTTAAGGGTCCCAACCGATCAGTATTGGCAAATGCAGATCCTGAATGAATTTACTTGACACTGTCGTCTAGTCAGAATCTTGAATTATGGTCAGCGATGGAAGCCACGATGCACGTTTCAACTTCTTGAAGACTTTTCAGCTGAATACATCTCCATCCCAGTGTCAATATTGCGATTCCTCTCTGCTAGCCACAATCAAACTTCACTAACGTTATAAATTTGTTTCGGGAATTATTAACAGATATACGGACAGTAATTATTCAGGAGACGTTATTCCCGACCTACAAGAATTTATGAAATTTAAATTGTTTACTCATGTCAGATGAAATCTTATCAATTAACGAAATTTTCGGTTGTTCAAATCAATGAATAAAATACTAATCGATAGATGAACGAGGTGTCGGCTACTCCCAAGATCATATTATTGACTTGGGTCTCTGAATAATTACCAATCAAATACAAGAACACTAGCCGGATGAATAGTTTTTGATGTAACAAAATGAATATGATAAAATGTCATTGGTGAACGGAGGAAATTAACTTGTACATTTGTTGAATGATAGAGGCATGGTAAGTTTCCACAGCTTAGAGCTATAGTAATCAGCAGTAGTGATTCAAATTTTTTTTTAATTTATCAAAGAAAAATGTCTTGGATTTTTGGAGCCTAATTAGTTGAAAGTCAAACTGTTTTAAAAACACCATCTATTTACAAGTGATAAAGTTTATAGGATAATTAGTGGAGGTCTGGATAACCAATCAATTTCTGCACTGAAAATAAGCACATTATCTACTAAACCACGTAATGTATGTGACATTAAGAAAGTACAAAATGTAAATCGTATTAAACAAGAGGATCATGTATAATAACGCCTAACATAATCGTAGCACACATACTAATTAATCTAATTAGAACTAGACGATGTACTTTGGGGTCTAGGTTCATCACTTGCTATTGGGTCATAAGTTTGAACCAATCTAGCATTTATGACATGTAGCTTTTTATGATAGGTGTGATTTAGAACTCTGTCAATGAAAACTATATCTCATGGGGTCATATTATTCACTAACAGCTCAATTCATTTCAGGCTTTGATTAACAGTTATACTACAGAATCGCTGAAAAATCATGGCTTAAAACATGATAAATAATTAGTAATAAATTATGTCTCGAAATACCAACTTTCAAAAAGTCAAACCGGATGTAGCTCATTGTGTTGTTCATAGATTTTTTAATAATGTCTAAATTCTTGGATAAGTCACAGTCACATATATAATGAATGTACAATGGTAATGATATAGTCTGGTAGACGAATTTCAATGTAGGACATTAGTAATTCTCGAGAGAGATCCAATTAAACAGAAAGCTAATGGGTAAACTTTAAGCTGGAAACATGATAGTAATAATAACAACAAATATTACATGTAAGAGATCTCTTTTCTGACAGCCTTAAACATCTGACAACCCGAACTCTCTAATTAATCCGAACAATTATGAATGGACCGACATATAAAATTCTATTGAATGGTTAAACAAACAGAGTTAATTCTATTTTGTTTACATACAAACAGTATTCGTCAACGTGAAATATTTTGCTTTGTGTATAAAATCAGTATATGCAGACCCATGTATTTTAATTTAAAAATAAGACTTCTCTTATAAAGGCACAGTTTATAACCAGTCATTTCAATAGAACATTTATCATACTCAATATTAAAAATATTTATGATCAAGAACACGTTTTACATATGGGGATAATGTGTTTAATTTTGAATTGGCTGTACATTATTCATGTTTTATTCATCAAGTTTAATAAAAACTCATAGAATGCAATGTGAAATCAGGTTGTTTTATTTTATTTTTTTCTTAATTCGAGAATAGACAAATGCGTTTTTATACAATCAAAAACAGATATTCGATTGTCGTAATCAAAACATAAATTATATCACTCTGGATAATGATAAACTTTTACAGTAGAATCAGCTGATGAACTTAAAATATAATGTATAGGTTTATCATTAGTAAGTAATTTAATTGCAGGCGCCCAATCAACATCTGTCACAATATCAGCATGTCCCATTAAGTCATATAGAGAGGAACGAGGATTACGTGTATCCCATAAACGAACACTACGATCAATTGATCCAGATATAAACTGATCTTGTCTATGAGGTGCCCAAGCAACTGAAGTCAACCAGCCTGTGTGTCCTTGAAATCCAGAGAGTACTAAAGGTGCTTTATAAAATAATTTGGTGGAAAAAGAATTTAAAATAGGGAGATTTTGAAGTATATACATGCACATTTCAATATTAGAACAGAAAGTTAAATTTTAAAAGGCATGGTTAGGTGATAGATAGTTACAAACAAACAAAAAAATGTTTGCTATTCAAATAACCATATTGATTGAATCTTTATCTTTGTACACTGGGTAACATCCCAGTCAGTAAACCATAAAGTCTTACTTTGATCACTTCTCTGGATGGTTTAGTCCTCCGGAATTTTTAATTAGACATATTAGTGCCTTCATCTCAAGGTCTTATTATTCGGTCGGTCAATCAACGTAGAGCCTGATACAAGTGTGCATTGACCCAAGTTGTCATACTACATTGGGACAATGAGGCGAAATTAACAAGATAAGCATCAAACAAGTCGAAGTAATACTAGTAGTATTGATAGTGAAAAAAGAGAGATTGGGAATATGGTTTGAAATAAGTTATGTATGGGAGTGATACGGTGGAAAAGTAATAAGCATAACAGTTAGGTCCTAAGTGATTGGAAAGTAGTGAGTGACCCATAAACTGATACCCTTCAATCGCTTGTGAAATGTCCTTTTTTGTTAGTATTTTGTATACAAAACTGTCATCTTATTGCATAAAACGTTTATTCTTCTGGTCAGTAGTTCTATGTTCAGTAATCATTTGCGGGCTTATGTCAATAATACAAGTCTTGTGGACAGCTATCAATCAGCTACACTTTGTATCATTGCTTACCATCTATCGACCAGTATTCTATTTGCTTACTTTAATGGTCTAAAATTTTGTATGATCAATCAAAATCCTTCTGTATAAACGAAGAAATGTTGAAACTCAAGATCTAGAAGCTAATAAAGAGTGGACGTGTCTTGGTCAATGCGACGGGTTCTGTGACGTATCATTCGATAATGAGCACCCCAACCAAGGAATCTGTATCTACCAACATGGTACAAACGAACAGTTACTAAATACACAGACTGGTGTCATATATTTGTTTGGGCAGCTGCAAACTTTCTTCCAACTTATTTCTACTTCAACCAATTTTGTACATCGAAGTAATTTATGATTCAACATTCATAACATGTCCTGACTATCTTGGTCGATGCATAACTATGCTCAAATACCGGTAACTTACGAATGTAGACTACCTTTAAAGGTTACATATCATAGCTATACAGTAATATAGTCAACAACCTAAATGAGTAATGCTGTTTTGTTTAAGCCATTATAAGACTTTTATCACGTTACTCCTGTAGAATCTAATTCAGTAGGGTGGGGAAAGTAGTGGATAGTTAGACATAACGCACCCCCAAGCCAACCCAGTCAATAACACCTCACAAACCCATTAACCAACATCGCTTTTGCACCTAACATCATCATTGGACGCTTGGTGATCTTATTGGCTACCAACAGTGATTATGAAGAACTTATGATTGCATACCACTAAGTTTCAGGCTGGCTTTTTACAGACATGGTAGCAGAGGAAAAACTGGATCATAATATTCTTGTTCTTAATTAGGTATTCACACACATTAGTTGAGTCATAAATGGTAAAAATCAATCGAATACTTTGCATTTCATCTGAGGTTTTATCAGCTACCAAAATTTGGAAAGTAATGACCAAAATGTCAAAGCATTTACGTCATACGCAGTGAAATCTCCATTAGTGTGGAATGCTTGTTCGGACATTCATCAGTATGCAAAGTACTTTGAAAATTAAATCAAAGATAATGAGTATTGTTAAAAAATAACTATCTTCAAGGACAAAGTTTGTTACGTAATATAATAAAGCTTACCTTCTGCTCGTGGATCAAATATTCGAATACAGTTATCAGAAGAAGCAGTCAAAATACCTCTGCTATTGACATCTGCATCATGCAAAGCATGATTGGAAAGTATACACCGGACTTCAGCACCAGTGTTACCTTTGGCCGCTTCACAATCCCAAATACGTAGACTATGATCCCAACTGATAGACAGTAGCTGGTTTCCACCAGGCTTTATTTCGCTATCATTAGTAAGAGTGGAAGGTAACCAGCAAATGCGTGTGACAGTTTCCCGATGTCCCGCTAAGGTGAATAACGGGATCTGTAATATATGTTGAAAGGTAAAAAATATAATCCGTAAAACTACTGGAAAATAACAAGTATCAGTGTTACGAACTTTTTGTTTAGAGAAAGTGTATAATAACGGGTAAGAATCACTATCATAACAACTCATTAGAATTCAGTCGTTTAAACACCCTAAAATTATTAGAAGACATTAAATAAATCAAATAATCCATGACACTTAAGAGGTGTAAACTATCTTTTTAAACAAGAGAAAGTGGAAACTTTAGCAAACAGAAGTAGATAAAAAGTGTGATAAATGCTCAAAAAGATCTTACTCTAGTAGGTGTTTTGCTAGTCGATTTTCTCACATGTACAATACCACCTGTTTCTTCAGACAGATCTGTAGGTTCAATCCCTTTAAAAATAAAAAAAAATGGTTAATCAATTTATTACTAAATGTCTTGATGAAATTTTTGACATATTTAGATAATAAAATACTTTTTTATTTAGGAAATTACCTGCCGACCATATTTTGATTGTTGTATCCCAAGATCCTGTAGCGAAATGTGCTGTATGAGTATCAGAATTATTAGAGAAGCGTGAGGCTGCGGTCATCACAGTTTCAGAATGTCCACGACAAACAGCAATACAATTAACTTTATTTGAACTAAGATCCCAGTGCCATATCTGAGCTGTTTGGTCAAAACCGCCAGTTACAAAAACCGCCTCATTTTTGGTTTGATCTGAAATATTTTCATAAGAGAAAGTATATTAGCAACCAGTTTGTTTATAATTAAACTGAAATTAAGCATACATAAAAATAAAGCTAGCTGTTAATCAAAAAGCAATAGATAGATCAAATATATTTTTAAGATGTCTGGAGGTTAATGACAAAGATGTTAGCTTATTTTCACATATTTGACACTATGTTACAGAGGTCTATGAAAGTAAATACACGGAACACAATAACGACACAAGTTTGTAAACTAGGGTTTAAGTGTCACTCACTGTAGAGAACGGTACTGAATTTATTACTAGACTTTAAATTAAAGTAATTTTGAACTCATGATATGACTGTTTGTAAGCTCAAAACCTAGTTAAAAAGATTGAGATACGAAAGCCCCCTATTTCGAAAAAAATTCTTTTATAATGCAACTACGTTTTACGTAGTTGCACATTTATGTCTTTAAACAAAACAATGATAAGGTCAACATCAACAATTGCAAGATATTTCCTGTCACAGAGTTGTTAAAATGGTTAACGAAATACATAGTTTTTTAAGTTTCATCAACAAAATATAAAGCGGGCTTGAACTATGAGTGGTAGATTTGTACAGAAAAGTAGTACCATCAGCCCTTAGTTGATAGGTAAAGTTAGAAACCCTAAACACGGACGAACACATTGAGATCCAGGTGTTTTGAACGCTAAAACAAACAAAGGTGAATGACAAAACAATAGGCAGAGCATGGATCAAACCTAAAGCATATTAAATGATAGTCGATAACTTTAACCTCTGTTCTGCAATGTCAGAATAAATAACATACGTTTGTGCATTCTATCGTGAATTGGAATACCCATTATATAAGAGATAATGATAACAAATAGCTGTGAAAACTTTCGTAGCTAAAGTGTCATTCGAAGTTCAGCTACTAAGCCTTACAAACTACTGACGAAAATGACAAACACCAAAGTTAGCCATCATTAACGTATAGCCTAACAAATGTGAATTGATCCTAATCTCCATACCAAATTAGAACGAAGAAATCAAAATAATACGGTGAATAGTAAAACAGATAAAAGTAATGTAGTACCAATGATGATTAGAAAAGCTAAACCTTTGAAACAAAGTGAAAAGGTACGTAAGGAGGATTACTAGAATTCAAGATCAGCAGGAATATAAAGAGCCCGATCGAAGCTGCTACCTTGACGCGGTGGTCGGGCTTCCCTATCGTGATGACCCAACCGAGCTATATTGGCTGGAACATATGTTCCTGCAGGTTCTACCATGCCAGGCAGGTCGATTGGTGAACGGTAAGACTAAAAGCAGCAACTCAAGGTCTGAGGGCGAAGTCGTACTGCTGACTGTAGAGAGGTGTGACAGCAGTAAGGTGTTTCCCTCGGACAACCAGCATGACAGCGATGCTGCCTTCCCACAAGGAGGGGTGGGGTTAGAAAAGGTCGACCCCAAAAATGTCACACCTCACCTTACCTCACGGATTTCCGTCTCCGGCGGTAAGGCCCTTTGAAGAACGGAGCTAACACGTCAAAAACTTTCCACAAAAAGGTCGTGCGCGACCAGCCTCAAGCAGTTGTCCCTTGGGCTCTGCGGTCACGCTCCCAGGTCGTCAAGACCAACACTAGTCCAATTTCCTTTTCAGATTCCTCAAGAAATACCATTCCACGGTGTGGGCAGCCTTCATACCCGTAACAGCACAAGAGACCAAGGTGGTCACATTCAAATCCTTCCTACACCTCCTAATACCTCTCTTATCTCCCCGACTAACCCTCCTCACGTCTCTTTATCACCTCGCACCGCTAGGGCAAACGACTCGAGTACGTGGAACGCCATTCCTGGTCTCCTGAAACCACGCTCTAAACTATACGTAGGAGCTTTTAACGTACGAACACTTTGCCAAATAGGACAGCAGACTTCCTTAGCTAAAACTTTAGAATCTCGCGCCATCGATGTGTGCTGCGTCTCCGAAACGCACATACAGGATCCAAGTAACGTCATTCATTTGACCTCACCATGCCAAAATAAAGAACCGACTCGATTTACGCTTCGTGTATCTGGAAGCCCTGATTCTGCTTCCCGTGGCTTCGCCGGCGTAGGTATAGCATTGAGTCCTAGGGCAGAACTAGCTCTCTTAGAGTGGATCCCAGTAGACAGTCGTTTGTGCGCTGTCCGACTAAACGGAACAGTAAGGATCCGAAAAGATAGGGACACTCGTCGTTGCCTCTTCGTCGTCTCTGCCTATTCTCCCACTGACTGCAGCTCAGATGATGTAAAAGATGAGTTTTACAGAAAGCTTTCAGACCTTCTCCGAAAAGCTAGGCGCTCTGATATAGTCACAATTGATTGATCACTGGGTGGTGATCAATCTCATGCTTGTCTAGTCCTTATTAGTGCAGATCGAATGCTATCGATCATGTTGCAATGTGGCCACCAGTCTAGGTGACTCGACACTGCGGGCACTATGTATTGAGATTAGATGGTGGTTGGAGGTAGTCAACAGGAAACCCTGGACCCGGGTTTCGTGCTACTTGGCACTCGTCAGCAAGGTGTACCTGTAATCTTGAGGGAACTGGTGCTCCCTGGCGGATTCGATCTCGTGTCACCCAGCTTCACAGTCAGAGACGTTACCACTGAGCTATCCGAGCCGTGACTAACCTCCTGTAGGACTGAGATGTAATCACAATTGATTGATCACTGGGTGGTGATCAATCTCATGCTTGTCTAGTCCTTATTAGTGCAGATCGAATGCTATCGATCATGTTGCAATGTGGCCACCAGTCTAGGTGGCTCGACACTGCGGGCACTATGTATTGAGATTAGATGGTGGTTGGAGGTAGTCAACAGGAATCCCTGGACCCGGGTTTCGTGCTACTTGGCACTCGTCAGCAAGGTGTACCTGTAATCTTGAGGGAACTGGTGCTCCCTGGCGGATTCGATCTCGTGTCACCCAGCTTCACAGTCAGAGACGTTACCACTGAGCTATCCGAGCCGTGACTAACCTCCTGTAGGACTGAGATGTAATCACAATTGATTGGTCACTGGGTGGTGTCGAGTCACCTAGACTGGTGGCCACATTGCAACATGATCGATAGCATTCGATCTGCACTAATAAGGACTAGACAAGCATGAGATTGATCACCACCCAGTGATCAATCAATTGTGATTACATCTCAGTCCTACAGGAGGTTAGTCACGGCTCGGATAGCTCAGTGGTAACGTCTCTGACTGTGAAGCTGGGTGACACGAGATCGAATCCGCCAGGGAGCACCAGTTCCCTCAAGATTACAGGTACACCTTGCTGACGAGTGCCAAGTAGCACGAAACCCGGGTCCAGGGATTCCTGTTGACTACCTCCAACCACCATCTAATCTCAATACATAGTGCCCGCAGTGTCGAGTCACCTAGACTGGTGGCCACATTGCAACATGATCGATAGCATTCGATCTGCACTAATAAGGACTAGACAAGCATGAGATTGATCACCACCCAGTGATCAATCAATTGTGATTACATCTCAGTCCTACAGGAGGTTAGTCACGGCTCGGATAGCTCAGTGGTAACGTCTCTGACTGTGAAGCTGGGTGACACGAGATCGAATCCGCCAGGGAGCACCAGTTCCCTCAAGATTACAGGTACACCTTGCTGACGAGTGCCAAGTAGCACGAAACCCGGGTCCAGGGATTCCTGTTGACTACCTCCAACCACCATCTAATCTCAATACATAGTGCCCGCAGTGTCGAGTCACCTAGACTGGTGGCCACATTGCAACATGATCGATAGCATTCGATCTGCACTAATAAGGACTAGACAAGCATGAGATTGATCACCACCCAGTGATCAATCAATTGTGATTACATCTCAGTCCTACAGGAGGTTAGTCACGGCTCGGATAGCTCAGTGGTAACGTCTCTGACTGTGAAGCTGGGTGACACGAGATCGAATCCGCCAGGGAGCACCAGTTCCCTCAAGATTACAGGTACACCTTGCTGACGAGTGCCAAGTAGCACGAAACCCGGGTCCAGGGATTCCTGTTGACTACCTCCAACCACCATCTAATCTCAATACATAGTGCCCGCAGTGTCGAGTCACCTAGACTGGTGGCCACATTGCAACATGATCGATAGCATTCGATCTGCACTAATAAGGACTAGACAAGCATGAGATTGATCACCACCCAGTGATCAATCAATTGTGATTACATCTCAGTCCTACAGGAGGTTAGTCACGGCTCGGATAGCTCAGTGGTAACGTCTCTGACTGTGAAGCTGGGTGACACGAGATCGAATCCGCCAGGGAGCACCAGTTCCCTCAAGATTACAGGTACACCTTGCTGACGAGTGCCAAGTAGCACGAAACCCGGGTCCAGGGATTCCTGTTGACTACCTCCAACCACCATCTAATCTCAATACATAGTGCCCGCAGTGTCGAGTCACCTAGACTGGTGGCCACATTGCAACATGATCGATAGCATTCGATCTGCACTAATAAGGACTAGACAAGCATGAGATTGATCACCACCCAGTGATCAATCAATTGTGATTACATCTCAGTCCTACAGGAGGTTAGTCACAGCTCGGATAGCTCAGTGGTAACGTCTCTGACTGTGAAGCTGGGTGACACGAGATCGAATCGGCCAGGGAGCACCAGTTCCCTCAAGATTACAGGTACACCTTGCTGACGAGTGCCAAGTAGCACGAAACCCGGGTGCAGGGATTCCTGTTGACTACCTCCAACCACCATCCAAATCTCAATACATTGTGCCCGCAGTGTCGAGTCACCTAGACTGGTGGCCACATTGCAACATGATCGATAGCATTGGATCTGCACTAATGAGGACTGGACAAGCATGACATTGATCACCACCCAGTGATCAATCAATTGTGATTACATCTCAGTCCTACAGGAGGTTAGTCACAGCTCGGATAGCTCAGTGGTAACGTCTCTGACTGTGAAGCTGGGTGACACGAGATCGAATCCGCCAGGGAGCACCAGTTCCCTCAAGATTAC